GAGCGCACGTGCCCTATAGCAAAAACCTCTCAAAAAAAAAAAAAAAAATTGAAATAGTGGGAGAGAGAGAAAAAAACAATCTTCCCATCTCAGTCCTAGGTTGTACTTTGGACTGCTTCTGGTCCGTTTTTATAATCCCCTGTATTCCCACTTTTTTATGAAAACATAATTTCCACCAAATTACACATCCATTTAGGAATCTGCTTCTTTGCACAAGTGTTTTATCCTAAGATATTTTCCAAGACGCGACACAGCTGCTGTAATTTGCTAGCCAGTAACTTGCTGCGTGGGGCCGTGTACGTTTAAACAGCGAAAACTACACGAAATGGAAAATTCACTTTCTCCGTGGCCCACCCGGGTTCCAAACGCTCGGTCCTCCCAGGTGGCTGGCGGCAGCTGGGAAGCCGACGGGACCGGACACCATTAAAAAGCCTATCACACAGCGCCCCCTAGCGGATTTCTAATTCAGCATCTAAACCTTCAAAAAACGGAGCCGCTGTAAGGTTTGTGAACGATTTGGAAGCGGTTAAGGATGCTGGACTCCCCCATGATCAGAACCGGTTCGAGTCCTAAACCTGGTGACTCGTTTCCTCACTTTTCCTCACTCTCTGGCCAAATTAAGTAATAATAATATTATTAATAATAATAAATAAAATTAATTCTTAGAAAAAATACTCTCCCCAGAGAAGGTCTCCGCAGAGATCCCCCTTCCTGTTGTTATTATTTTTTAAAGAATTATTTTATTTTAATTTGGCCAGAGAGGGACAGAGTGAGAGAGAGAGAGAGAGAGAGATAAGGAAAGTGAGAAAGCAAGCTGTCATGTCTGGGACTTGAACCATGATCGGCCATGTAGGAGTCCAGCACGCTTAACCACCATGCCACCTGTTGGCCCCCTGTTATTATTATTATTTTGGAGAGGGTTTTGCTATAGGGCACGTGCGCTCACCAGAAAGACAGAGAGAGACAGAGAGACTGAAAGCGAGAATCACCCCCAGGGGGGATGGCCACACTGCAATCCCTTCTCCTCCACTCTCCCTTTGGAATCTTGGGCACGCACACATATGTGTAGATTGAAAATCACGCCAGTCCCGTGTGCGTGCATCCCCAAAATCGAGAGAGGAAAATGGAGGAGGAGGGATGCTGGCATGGCCATCTCCCAGTGGTATTTTTAATTCACCAGGTCTGGGACTTGAACAGTGGTCATCTACGTGGGCATCCAACGCCTGAACCGCCACCTCCTGGCCCTCATTTGGCCACGCATTTAAAAATAAAAAAATCATTTATCTTTATTGCTGCTTTTTAAAAATATTTACTTTATTTTATTTGTTCTTATTTTTTTAATTTGATAAGAGAGAAAGAGCAAGCTGTCAGGTCCGAGACTCGAACCATGGTTGGCCATGTGGGAATCCAGCATCTCAACCACCACACCATCTGCCAGCCCCGATTGCTGCTTTTTTTGGGGGGGCGGGTACATGCCCCTTGCCCTCCCAGATTCTGCCTTCATTTCCACACCTCAGTCCTCTTGCTCTGCCCGGACCCAGGTTTCAAGACTCTCCTGCTATTTTTATAATGACCTCCAGGGGGCGCTGTGTCCTCGCTTATGCCGAGCGCAGGCACCTGGCTTGGGTTTTATTACAGTTTAATCAACATTTTCCTCTCTGGATCGCTCTATTGGCGGGGTGGAAGTTATAATCATGACAACAGACACCTAGAAACCTCCTGGGGGCGCTAGTTGGTGGCCTGGGGATTAAGGCACCTGAATCCCACATGGTCAGCTGCCCAGTTCCAGTCCCCAGTCCCTGCAGCCTGGAAAACACACGAGGAGAGACCAAAACCCTGAAAGAAGAAATAGAGAAGGAATTATGGTGTGGCCATTCCCTCGGGGGGGGGGGGGGTGAATTTCCACTTTCTTTTGGTATTTTTAATTCACCAGGTCTGGGACTTGAACAGTGGTCATCTACGTGGGCATCCAACGCCTGAACCGCCACCTCCTGGCCCTCATTTGGCCACGCATTTAAAAATAAAAAAATCATTTATCTTTATTGCTGCTTTTTAAAAATATTTACTTTATTTTATTTGTTCTTATTTTTTTAATTTGATAAGAGAGAAAGAGCAAGCTGTCAGGTCCGAGACTCGAACCATGGTTGGCCATGTGGGAATCCAGCATCTCAACCACCACACCATCTGCCAGCCCCGATTGCTGCTTTTTTTGGGGGGGCGGGTACATGCCCCTTGCCCTCCCAGATTCTGCCTTCATTTCCACACCTCAGTCCTCTTGCTCTGCCCGGACCCAGGTTTCAAGACTCTCCTGCTATTTTTATAATGACCTCCAGGGGGCGCTGTGTCCTCGCTTATGCCGAGCGCAGGCACCTGGCTTGGGTTTTATTACAGTTTAATCAACATTTTCCTCTCTGGATCGCTCTATTGGCGGGGTGGAAGTTATAATCATGACAACAGACACCTAGAAACCTCCTGGGGGCGCTAGTTGGTGGCCTGGGGATTAAGGCACCTGAATCCCACATGGTCAGCTGCCCAGTTCCAGTCCCCAGTCCCTGCAGCCTGGAAAACACACGAGGAGAGACCAAAACCCTGAAAGAAGAAATAGAGAAGGAATTATGGTGTGGCCATTCCCTCGGGGGGGGGTGTGATTTCTCACTTTCTCTCTCTCTCTCTCTCTCTCTCTCTCGGGATCGTATGCACCATGTAGCAAAAATTTTTAAATTACTTAATTGTATTTGTTTCTTTGTTTTTGTTTGTTTGTTTATTATTTATGAGAGGTTTTTTCTATAGGGTGCATGCACTCGCCAGAAAAAGAGAGAGCGAGAGAGAGACAGCAAGAAATCACCCCCCAGGGGGGATGGCCACCCCACAATCCCTTCTCCTCCATTCTCTCAGGATCTTGGGCACGCACGCACACGCGCCCGGCATGAGTTTAAGCTACCGGGTCCGGGACTTGAACTGCTGTCGACTACGTGGGAGTCAGTGACATAGCTATTACTCCAACTACTGGTCCCTTATTAGTTGTTATTTGTTTAGGAATGATTTTATTTATTTATTTATTTATTTTTGGAGAGGTTTTTTTGCTATAGGGCGCATGCACTTGCCAGACAGACAGAGACAGAGAGACAGAAAGCAGGAAATCACCCCCCAGGGAGGATGGCCACACCGCAATCCCTTCTCCTCCATTCTCCTCTCAGGATCTTGGGCACGCACACACACGCACCCGGCGTGAGTTTAAGCCACCAGGTCCGGGACTCGAACTGCGGTCGACTACGTGGGAGTCCAGCGACATAGCCATTACGCTAACTGCTGGTCCCAAGAATGATTTTATTTAACTTTATTTATTTTAATTTGACCAGAGAGGGACAGAGTGAGAGAGGGAAAGTGAGAAAACAAGCCATCAGGTCCGGGACTTGAACCATGGTCGGCCATGTGGGAGTCCAGCGCCCTTAATCACCATGCCACCTGCTGGCTTGGAGGAAGATCTTTTATAGGGCAACCCATTAAGCTGTTTTGGACAATCGCACGTGTGGCAGACATGTAAGGGAATCAGGCACTCCGTACATATTGAACATGTTGTGGGTTTTGTTTTATTCGGGGCCATTAGACTGCCCCAAACTTGTTCCATGTCCTTGTGTAATTGTTTTTAGGTTGGTGTGCCCTCACACCCTCTCTCTCTGTCTCTCTGTGTCTCTGACAAGTGTACTCACCCTATAGTAAAATTAAAAAGAAAAGAAAAGGGGGTCAACAGGTCCGTGGTGGTTAAGGCATTGAATTCTCTCACTACTGACCACGGTTTGAGTCCCACAGTTGGCGGCTTGCTTTCTCACTTTCCCTCTCTCTGTCTCTCTCTCTCTCCGGTGAATTAAATAATGATGATGATAATAATAATAATAATAATATGGGACTAGCAGTTAGCATAGTGGCTACCTCACTGGACTCCCCTGTAGTCAACCACAGTTCGAGTCCCAGACCCAGTGGCTTAAACTCATGCGGGGCATGTGTGCGTGTGTGCCCAAGATCCTGAGAGGAGAATGGAGGAGAAGGGATTACCACGTGGCCATCGCCCCTGGGGGGTGATTTCTCGCTTTTTGTCTCTCTGTCTCTCTGGCGAGCACACATGCCCTACAGCAAAAACCTCTCCAAAAATAATTTAATTCAATAATAAAATAAAAATCGTATCATGCGAAACCATGGTGAAGACATTGAACGCCTACATGGCCAACCACTGTTTGAGTTTTGGACACGATGACTTGAAAATCACCCCAGGCGTGTGTGCGTGCATGCCCAAAATCCCGAAAGGAGAATGGAAGAGAAGGGATTGTGGCATGGACCCTCCTTCCTGGTGGGGGGTGATTCCCACTTTCCCTCTCTCTGTCTGTCTCTTTCTCTGGCGCGCCCACATGCCCTATGGCAAAGAGAAAAAAAAAATCTTGGAACCAGCAGTTAGCGTAATGGCTATGTCGCTAGACTCCCACGTAGTCGACCGCGGTTCACATCCCGGACCCGGTGACTTAAAACTCACGCCGGGCGTGTGTGCGTGCGTGCCCAAGATCCCGAGAGGAGAATGGAGGAGAAGGGATTGCGGTGTGGCCATCCCCCCTGGGAGGTGATTTCTCGCTTTCTGTCTCTCTGTCTCTCTCTGTCTGGCGAGCGCACGCGCCCTATAGCAAAAAAAACTCTTAAAAAAATCTTACTGCTATCCTAATCATCATCCCTATGCAGGTTACAGATGTTAAGGAGCTGGCCTCTCCTAGTCCCTCCATGCACGGCCTCCGTGGATGAGCCCTGCTAGCCCGGCAGTGAGTGGTTAAGCGCCCGGCCTGGCTGACCGCCCAGCTAAGTCCGTGCCCGAGAGCCAAACAAGTTCTCCTATTATCCAGTTGCTGGGAGAACTGGGCAGGGAGAGCCCCACGAAGCACCTAAGACAAAAGCAACTACGATGGCTGAGGCTTGTCTTCCGGGCGGCTCTGGGTCCAGAAAACTTTCGTCCTCGACCGACTTCCCCAGAGGACTTTAAATCGGTCTTTCAGCCACCAGCTAGGGCAAGACGGAAGCTGGAGTCCCTGGGGACGGCCCAGGCCCTCTGTCCTCCCGAGCTCAGTCCAGTTCTGCTGGGTTCTCAGGACTCACAGACAAGACTTCAGTGACATGGACAGTCGCAGGGGAACCTGTTGATAGGACATTTATGTACTGAGCACCTACTATGTGCAGGCCCGCCGACCTGACCTTGGGAGATGAGGTTTTCAGCCTCGTGGAACTCACATTCTCGGGGGACCAAGAACAAGAAGCGGATCCTCTGATGGTGAGTCCCGGGCAGGCATTTAAAACAGGGCAATGAGGGACCAGCAGGTGGCGTGGTGGTTAAGACGCTGGACGCTCCCCACATGGCTGACCATGGTTCGAGTCCTCAACCTGGTGGCTTGCTTTCGCTCTTTCTCTCTCTTTCTGTGTCCACTTTTAAAAAAATAAATAAATAGGGACTCACAGTTGGCGTCATGGCTATGTCGCTGGACTCCCATGTAGTCGACCGTGGTTTAAGTCCCAGACCCGGTGGCTTGAACTCACGCTGGGTGTGTGTGCATGCGTGCCCAAGATCCCGAGAGGAGAATGGAGGAGAAGGGATTGCGGCATGGCTATCCCCTCCCCACCGGAAGGGGGTGTGATTTCTCACTTTCTGTTTCTCTGGCGATCACTCATGCCCTATGGTAAAGATCTCTAAAACAATAAATAAATAAGGTGAATTGTAAGTGGGGTGAATGTCATGAAAGGATGCAGGAGACGGGACCAGCAGGTGGTGTGGTGGTTGAGGCCCTGGACTCCCACATGGCTGAGTGCGATTCAAGTCCCGGACCTGGTGGTTTACTTTCTCACTTTCTCTGTCTCTCTCTGGTGAGCACACATGCTCTATAGCAAATTTGAAATAATAATAAAAAATAAAATTTAATAAATACTTCTTCTTGGGGGGAGAGGAGGTTTTTGCTATAGGGGGCGTGCACTTGCTAGAGAGATAGAGAGAGAGGTGAGAAATCACCCCCTAGTAGAGATGGCCACACCACAATCCCTTTCTCCTCCAACATCCTCTCAGGACTTGGGGTGAGTTTCAAGCTTCCGTGTCCGGGACTCGATCCATGGTTGACCATGTGGGAGTTCAGCACTTTGACCACTATGCCACCTGCTGGCCCCACTTCTTTTTTTTTTAATCAGATTTTTTGCCATAGGGTGAGTACACTTGCCAGAGTGAAAAACAGAGACAGAGAGAAATTACCCCTCCAAGGGTTGGCCATGCCACAATCCCTTCTCCTCCATTCTCCCTTCAGAATTTTGGTCAGGTACGCACACATGCCCAGCATGATTTTCAAGCTGCCGGGTCCGGGAATTGAACCATGGAATCAGCCATGTGGGATCCAGCTGCTGTAGCCACCATGTCATAGGCTGTCCCCAGCTTCTTCTTCCTCTCAGGGAGAGGTCTGGCCTCCTGCAGGAAAGGAGGTCTCCTGGAATTGATCTGAAGCCGGCTTCTCAGTTTCTGGCAGATGGCTCTTGGTGGTGAGGGCTGTCCTGTGCATTGGAGGGTATTAATCAGTGTCTCTGATGTCCACCCACAGAAAGCCAGAAGCATCCCCCAGTCGTGACAACCCACAGTGTCTCTAGACGTTGCAAGCCTCCCCTTGGGGACAGAATGTCCCCACGTGAGGACTGCTGGGTTTCTATGTGCATAGACTTTGTCCCTGTGGAAGGCAGTGGTGAGCACAGGATGGGGTTGGGGGACTTTCGCCAACTGTTCGTTCTTGTCACCTGCCCTGCCAGGGCTGGGCACAGCTCCCAGCGTCCCCTGGCTTCCCTCTGTACACCTGGGCCCAGGCTCAACTTACAAGCAGGTCCCGGGGGACCCAGGTGTTCGAGAACCTGGCAGGTCCCCGGGCCCTGACGCCCAGTGCCAGGAAACCACAGTTGCTGTGGCGACCACTGTGCTCTTGGGGCGAGGAAGGAGCCGGAGGAAGGTTCCCGTGTCTGGAGGAGCTGGTATCCAGGGTCTTCAGCCAGGGGGACACCGTCTGGCATCCCCTGATTAGCTCCTGCAGACGGTGGGGAACAGTGGGAAGCAGCCCGTTCTGCACCCCAGGAGCGTTGGGGGTGCCGCGGGTCACCAGGGGGCTGGCAGGGTGACATGGGAGCCCTGTTCCAGATGGCCCTTCCTGGCCGGCCTCCCAGAAAGGCCACTTGGCCGCGGGCGTGAGGTCTCAGAGCCCCAGGCTCTTTCCCAGAGAGGGGTCGTCCACGTGGCTGGTCAGTATGAACCTGGGCCCCCTGAGCCCGGGCACCCGGCGACGCCTCCTCCAGGGCCAGGCAGGCCCCCTCCTGGCACCTCCATCCAGCGGCGTGGCTGTCTTCATCAGCTCCACGGTCTCGGGTAAGGCTCAGGGCAGGGCTTGGGGCTTAAGGGCAAGCGGGCATTCTCAGGGGGTGCCAGCCCGTGTGATGGGCATGACTCATGGGGTTACGGGGTCCCCAGCTGTCAGTCCTATGGACTAAGACTCATTCTGAAACCTGCCCCCCATCCTGTGGTCTGTGGGAAAACGGTCTTCCATGAAACGGGTCTTTCATGGCGAAAAGTTTGGGGACTGCTGCTCTAAGGGACCTAGATGCAAATGCGGCGTAGCTGGTGACCAAAGTGGGCACTGGGGACAGAGAGACACCTAGACCCTCTGTTTCTTCTTTGATAAGCCAGATTAAGAGCTCATCCTTTTTTGTTTTTTTTGGGGGGAGAAGTTTTTTGCTATAGGGTGCATGCATTCGCCAGAGAGACAGAGAGACAGAAAGCAAGAAATCCCCAGAAGGGATTGTGGCGTGGCCATCCCCCCGGGGGGCGATTTCTCGTTTTCTGTCTCTCCATCTCTGTCTGTCTTTCTGGTGAGCACACGTGCCCTATAGCAAAAACCTCTCCAAAAAAATTTAAAGTGTATAATTTAATCTCTCTGTATCTTGAGATTTCACAGCTATCTTCCTGTTACTGATTTATAGTTTAGTTCCATTGTGGCCTGAGAGTAGAAATTGCCTGATTTCTATTCTTTTCTATTTGTCTTATAACCCAGAATGCTGTGTATCTTGGTGAATGTTTCATGTGAGCTTGAGGAGATGTGTGTTCTGTTGGAGTGTAAAGTAACGTACAGGTGTCAGTTATAGCTGCTTCATTGATGGCGCCCTTGAGCATAGCTCTGCCCTGAGGACTTTCTGCTTCCTGGCTCTGTCTATTTTGTGAGATGGGGGTGTTGAAGTCCGCAAATTTAATAAAGAATTCATCTATTTTTCCTTGATGATCTATCAGTTTTTGCCTCATATATTTTGACACTGTTTTTACATGCATAAATGTTCAGAATTGTTGTTTTTTAAGAGAATTAACCCATTTATCATTAAGCAATGGACCCTTTTATCCTTGATGGTTGTCCTTCTCTTGAAGTCTTCTCTGTTTAAAATTAATATAATTACCAATACTTTCTGTTCCGGCCTGCCTCTCTCTTTCTGTGCAGATAGCACACCCGCAAACGTGGTGAACATCCCTAAAACCAACCGGACTTTCTGTAAGAAGTGTGGCAAGCACCAGCCTCATAGAGTGACACAGTGCAGAAAGGGCAGGGGTCTCTGTGTGCTCAGAAAAAGCAGTGTTAGGACAGGAAGCAGAGTGGCTATGGTGGACAGACTAAGCCTGTTTTCTGGAAGTAGACAAAAACTACAAAGATTGTGCTGAGGCTTGACTGTGTTGAGCCCAACTGCAGATCTGAGAGAAGCCTGGTTATTAAGGGATTTGAGCATTGTGAGCTGGAGGGGATAAGGAGAGAAAGGGTCAAGTGATCCAGTTCTACCCTCATCCTTTTTGTTATGAAGATGGCAAAATCTTGAGGTAAATGTTCACCTCATTTGATTACAATTGTCTTTTTTTTTTTTTTAGAGGTCTTTGCTATAGGGCGCGTGTGGTCGCCAGACAGACAGAGAGAGACAGAGAGACAGAAAGCGAGAAATCACCCCCCAGGGGGGATGGTCACCCGCAATCCCTTCTCCTCCATTGTCCTCTTGGGATCTTGGGCATGTACACACACACGCCCGGTGTGAGGTTTTTTTTTTTTTTTTTTTTTTTTT